GTGGGCAGGGTTATGGGTTATGGGTTATATTGATCAAAGAATAGTTTGTTGGTTGTTTTGGTAGGCAGTCGGTGGGCAGTCGGTGGTGTTTTTGGTGTTTCGGCAGTCAGTGGATTTTCTTTTCGGTTAGGCTGTTGGTTTGTTGTTCTTTGCTGGGTTGTCGCTAGTGCAATCTGGTTTGGCTGTGTCTGGTTTGGCTGGAGTATGTCGGTTGGTGGGTATGTAATGGTGGCTGGGCAGTTTATTGGAGAACTGTTACAAGGAACCGGCTATCGGAGTTGGGTGAGCAGCGGCTGGTTTGGCTGGAGTATGTCGGTCGGTGGGCAGTCGGCAGTCGCTGGGTTCTATGGAGGCAGTCGCTGGTTTTGGAGGTGCTGTTTTGGTTCGCTGGTTTGGCTGGAGTATGTCGGTCGGTGGGCAGTCGGCAGTCGCTGGGTTCTATGGAGGCTGTCGCTGGTTCTGGTGGCCTGGGTGTGGCGCTGGAGGTTGGGCAGGCTGTTGCAGATTGTTTGGGTGTGGCGCTGGAGTGGAACGGTGGCTGCTGGGAAGGTGATGAAGGCTAGGGTTAAGGTTAGGGTTAGGGTTAGGCTTAGAGATGGAGGCTAGGGTTTTGGCTCTGATACTAACTTGGAATATGTGAAAGGGATACTCAAACTCAAAGTAGAGTCCCGTATATATAGCCAAAAATAATACAGAGTGACTTAAACATCCTTGTAGTTTAGGCAAAATATAAAAATCATAGTAAGGGTAAAAAAGAGAAAAGGAATCCTAATAAACCTAGACTACTATCTATACTCCAACAGAGACCAACCCAGACTCTACTTGGGCTATAAAACTCTCAACTCAAATTCAACACGTGTTAAACCTTTATTACTCTTCAGAGCTTAACTCGAACACCATCTTCGACCTAAATATTGTTTGTCTTTAGATTTTTGAACTTAGGTACTTCAACAAAGATCTAAAATTCGAGTTAGTTTTGAATTCAATTACCAAGTTGAAATTATTGTTTGCTTGCGGTTAAATGCAGAGGTTACCCAACTTGGATTGAAATTCAAGTTCAGCTTGATTTATAATTCATGTGTCAATTCAAGTTGAACTAGTGTTATACAGTTCGAATTGAATTTAGGGTTGAACCTTAATTAGTAATTCATGATGGGTTTGAGTTGGGTCCTAAAGCCCTAAGTTCCCAACTTGAATAACACCCAAATTTATGTTAGGATGAGATTTTTTTTTTGTCTAAAGCTAACTCAAATACTGAAAATTGTAATAAATCTTTTCTGATCTCACATTGCAAGCCTCAAACTTGTTCTTTCCCTTGATATCTATGTATCTTATTTTTTATATATTTTATCATTTTCATATTTATTAAAAGATCACTGCTATTGAGGGCTAATTTATTGTGACCTTTAGATTGACGCTCCCATTAAATATTAAAACTTAGTTTTGATCAAATGATTCTAATGATGTCAAATTTTTAGATCAAATAGGATTGCTCTTATTAAAAAGGAAGAAACAATGGATCCTATTCATACACCCACACTGGACACCTATTGAATGGTATGCTACGTCTTCACCTATCATTCACCTACACTGGACACCTATTGGGCTAGCAACAACATTTCATTTGGTCTTCCAAAGTACTAACTCTAGGGCCAATAACATGCATGGAGATTTTGATTTTTTTTCTTTTTCTCACAGGTATTTAGACTTGTACCTACTACTTCCTTAAGTTTGGATATTGCTCACTATAGTCCGAGTGGATTTAGAACATATTCCTTAAGGAATAAGAGTGATTGATTCTTGTGGGGTATGAAAAGTGTTGAACTTGACAAATTTGAGTTGCCAAATGATTTTTTGTGGTATCAAAATCGGACTGGTTCAAAGGTGACTCGAGACCTCAATCGGTTCGGTTGACTAGTTAAACCGCATAAGGAAGGGAACCGAATAAAAACCATCAACCAACCGATTTTTGGAAAAAATCGTGAACTAGATAGTTTTTAAAACCTGGACGGTTTGAAGTCCATAAAAAAATGAATAATTGAATCTACTGTTTTAAATTTGGGCCATTTTGATTTTGCCCTAAATTGCATAAGGTAGAGAATGAGTGCTCAGCGACCAGTGCTCTTTGTCTCACCAGCTAAAGGGAGGCAGCAATCAGTGCCCAGGTGGCACTTAGGCGACCAAGAAAGCAGTCCATCAATGTTGTTCTATACTCAAGCAGTGAGTGAGGTGTCCAACGAGAAGTGAGAACTGAGTGAGAACACGTCGCTCTTCATCTCACCAGTGATAGTGAGACAACGATCAGTGCTCAGGGCGACAACTCAGGTGTCTATCGAGTATCGACGCTGTTTCTATTCAATACTTGTGTGCATTCAAGTGACCACTCAGCAATCAACGAGGCTGTTCTATTTAGTCAATCGATCAATTCAGCTTCAAGGCTCCAACTCTCTGCTGTCAGGTAAAATCTATATTAGAGATATTGAAGAACACAAAACATGTGTACATGGTAATTATCATTATTTGTTTAGAGGATAAATGACACTTTGTGCTTTGAATTTTTTTTATATTTTTAATTTACATCCTGAATGTTTGAAATTTTTATATTATCCAAACAACTCTATTTTAAGAAATTTGAACACAAAGTTTTCATAAAAAATATTTAAAATTGAGTATTATGCAATAATTATGTATAGAAATAGAATAATGATTTATTTTTTGGACTATTATTTGTTATCTTTTTATCTGACTGAAAGTGTAATGTGAAAATTTTAATTAATTTTTCAGGTGTAAAGTAACAATTTAAAAATATTTTAGGTTACAAAGTGTCATTCAACCTTGTTTATATTTATCTTTTGTTCTGATTTTATTTGATAAGTGTCATAATACGACTTACACTGTGATTACTACTTTATATGGGTAGTTTGTTAATTTTTAAGAAATCAATGTGATTGTGTTAGTGGTTGTACTGCCTTACTAAGTTATGAGTTATTAGTAAGTCATTAATTTTATGGTAAATTGTATACATTTTAGACATATTTTATATTTTTTAGCTAAATTATTATGTTTTATAATTATTATATATATATATATATATTTTAATTTTTATTATATAACCGGTCCGATCAGTTGACCTAACGATTGAACCAGTGAACCATTGATCCAGTTTCCTTGTTGATTCAATGACCGATCTAATTCTGATAACATTGCAAATTACACAAAAGTGATATTGATTTCTGAAAAATATTTGTTTCCAAATTACCAAATACACAACTGGATTGCTCATATGCTGCCACCAAAAGTTTTCCCTAAAAGGGTCAACCAAATATTGAAGGTTAAAAACCTTGGGGGTCGATGAACTTAGCATGTCTTCACCAACCATGATAAACCATAAAATATTAAAAACATATCAATTACTCATCTCCCTTCATCCTTTGATTAGGGCACATACTTCTAATTGAATAACCATATATAGATGGCATTCATATCACAAAAGCAATGAAGACTATGAATGGTAAGACGGCAAAATTAGTCAAACCAAAACTTTAAACTTAATATGAAAACGTCATTTAAGTTTGCATATATCATTTAGCCTTCTTTCAAAATATACAATTTTCAACATCTCTAGATGTCATTGGTTTGTAATGGTTTCAATTTTAGAATCGTGGTTACAAAAAGTTACAATAAAAATTCTATTATCACCTTAATTATATCTAACATGTAATTTTAATCTCTCTACATTTTTTTTCATGATAAATTTAGCTTTTATATTTCTTTTCGCACCTACGCTACTCTCACCCATTTGCAAAAAATTGCTCAATGATTGAGAATACTTCTTTCTTGTTTAGTAGAATTCAATTCTTGTTCCAATCTTACGTTTACTCTTTCTATTGCTATATTGTTGATCCACCGAATTGAAGAGAAAAAATTAGAGTTAATTGGACGGGAAGTTTCCAAAGTATAGAGTTTATCTTATTTTAATCTTTAATATTTTAATTGTATAATTTTGACCTTTAAAGTATTGAATATATTTTAATGTGATCTCTCAAGCAAACAACATCCAGATTGCTAATAATTTTTTATTATAAACTTGTCATGTGATATTTTAATATGGGTAAAAAAATAATTTTGATAATTCTTGACCAAATTTTTATCCAAATTTTGGTCAAAGAGCTATTCAAATTACATAGTTTTGATCATAAAGTTTTTAAATTTTGGTTAAGAGCAACCCATATTACACATTTTTGATTAAGAGTTACCAACATTTTTTTTTTACATTTAGATCTCACGTAATAAGTTTATAATAAAAAATTGTTAACAATTTGAATTTTGTTTACTTGAGGACTACATAGAAATATCTATATAATAAAATAGCTAGGCGTTTGAAATTTTATTCCATACATATTTTCTCTCCCAAAACCATCACATGTTTAATCATTTAATATTTGATTAATTTGTAATTTAACATAATTTTTATTTCAGACATTATCCAAACACAATAATATACACATGTTGAGAAAATTTGTCGAATTACGTATTTTTGTCGATATTTTTAAAAAAATAATAGGTAAAAATAAATTTTAAATGATGTAATCAAATAAATGAATGAAAAAAAAATTATTATTTAATATAATGGGATTATCTATTTTTTAGACGCTCGAATTTTATATTTCATCGTGCCTTCAGGCATGAGTTATGATTAGTATTTAATATTTTAGGGATTAAAATGATATAATTGAAATATTTTAGACCAAAATGATACAAATACCATACTTTGGGGACATTCAGTGCAATTAATCCAAAAAATTAAAAATAGATCGTATTGTTTTAAAAAACGACGTCACTTTGTTGTAACGTAAAATTCAATTGCAATTTGAATTCTCAATTTCAATTTTCAAATTACCCCACTTCCAGATCTCAATAGACCTCCATCACCGTCCTCTTAAACCCTCTCTCTCTCTTTCTCTCTCTCTCTCTGCGTGTGTGTCTGCAAGCTCTCGACAATGCTATCAACAGACTCAGACTTCGATCTCAGAGTACGCTCTCTCAAAACCGTAACAATGCACTTCACAATTCTCTCTTCACTCTCTTTCTCTCTCTAATTCAAAATTTTCTGACTCAAACTTTTCACAGCCGTCCACTCAGTCCAGTAGTTTGGGATTCAGGTAATTGTTCTCTTAACTCTCTCCGATTTTGTAGTTGCGCATTTCCTACTTCTACTAAATGCTGCTCCGATTCGTTCTCAGTGCTTCCGCATTTGCTGATATTAACAACTTGGAGCATTGCGCCAAATACCTGAACCAAACCCTCGTCACCTTTGGATTCCCCGCTTCGCTCGATCTCCTCGCAAATGATCCGGTGCTGTATTTTTCATTCCTTTGTTATAATATTTTTTGTAAGTGTTTGTATACTGATTGGTTGGTGTAGTACAAAGAGTTTCAACCTTAACAACTCTAACTCTAAGGTTGTGGTCCTGAGGCTACCACTTTGTGCAAATAATGGAAATATTAAGTCTATATCCTATAATGATTCTCTTGCTACTAAATTCTCCCAGTTCCATGAATTCTGGATCACCCATAATGAATTGATGGAGAACCTACATGAATATAGTAATGTGTTCCATTTGAATTCGTGGGGGTGATTTAAAATTTTAAAAATCTAGTGCTGCTAATGTCTTCTAGGTCCATCCTTCTTGACACCCTGATTCATGGGGACCAAAATGGGCAATGAACTTTTTTTTTCCCTACCATATTTTGGTGGAAATTTGAATTTTTTGAGTACTTAATAGTTTTTTATTGATATAGGTGTCAATTGCGCGAACTTGCAATTGTCTATACTCTTTATTACAGCAGAGGCAAAGGGACATTGAATTCAGAGAGTCTGCTAATGAACAAAGGCAACGGTACATGATTTACCAGTGTATTTCCTTTTTAATTGAACATTCAGAATTGCTTCAATTTGGGTTGATTAACTTTCTTTAGCAGTTAAGATCTTTAAAATTTGTTGGTTTAACAGTTTGGCTGAGTTAGAGAATTTAGATTGCTGGCAATTCACATCAGTGACTAAATTTTAGAAATAGAGACATTTTGTGGAAAAAAAAGTGATGAAGTTGGTATTGTATTTGCAAAGAAAGGTGGATGGTCACTTTCAATTTACCAGTGGAGCGTTATTGCAATTTATAAAATAGGTGTACTATCTTATTTCCATTGATGGGATTTGACTATTAAGGCCTCACTCTGTAGTAGCTCTAACTTTCTGATCAGGCCAAGACATTGGTCATATGTTAAAATTAGAACATTAGTGACATAGGCAAAAAGTTGTTTCATTTGAAAAAATGGCATGTAGTAAGAATAAAAAGGATTTTATTTTGCAAAACTTACAAGCATGCATTTCTACTCAAGTCTGGTGGCGGAAGTTTATGTTGATGTATGGGCTTGAGCCTTAATGTTTAATGGTGTCTTGTATTCCAGAGTCATGTACATAGATAAATTTTTACTTTTTTCTCTTCCCACAGATTTATCTCGGACATATCGAGATTAGAGGCCAAAGTAGAGAGGCTGGAGTCGCAGTTATCTGCCAAAGATAGAGAGATAGCAACAATTACTAGAACGGTTAGAAATGGTCTTATTTTTATGATGAGAAATCCCTCTTGATATGGTGGCTATCATTCTATATTGCGTTGAAATTTTCATTCAATAACAATTAGGAAGCCAAAGCTACCGCAACTTTTAAGGCCCAGATTGAGAAGTTGCAGCAGGAGCGAGATGAATTCCAAAGGATGGTTATTGGTAATCAGGTTCGGACTCTTCAGTTTGTCCTACTCATTTTTACAGTTTGCTAATATAGTGTACCGAACTGTACTTATTCTAACATTTTTTTATGTTGCAAAAAGCAAGTGAGAACTCAACAAATACATGAGATGAAGAAAAAGGAAAAAGAGTATATAAAATTGCAGGTAGGGGTCTTTTGGAAATGTGTTATTAGCCTCTGAAATGAATCTAGTATAATAAGCTGGTTAATATAGCATGAGTAAGTATTTGGAGTAGTTGGTACTTGATACACATGGAATGAGGGAGGGATCATGTTTTTATTGCAGGAGAGACTAAACCAGGTCTTGATGGAGAAAAAAAAGGAATCCCGATCGGGCATGGAGATAATGAATTTACTCCAGGTGAATAGAGATTTTCTAGGGTTTGTATAAATTTTTTAATTCCTTTACTTAATGATCTTTAGCTACATGTCAACAGAAAGAAGGGCGGCAACGCGGGACATGGAATGGAAAGAAGGCTGACAATGACTTTTATAAAAAGATTGTAAGAAACATGATTGACTTTAAGTTTCAGTCACCATTATTTGACTCATCTGTGATCATGTGCTATTGGTAGGTTGATGCTTATGAGGCAAAAAATCAAGAACTAGTAGCCGAGAATGCTGATTTGAGGGCTTTATTACGTTCAATGCAGGTAGTTCTAAATGCTAACCATATTTGTTTTTGCTAATAATGTTCCGTGGGTGCAATGCTATCTTAATTCTTGTGAGCTCAATCTTATGTTTTCTCCATTTCTAATTACCTTAATTATGTATATGAGTGTGCACATTTATGAATAGACACACACTATGTGCATATTCGGTGATTGGGATTTATAATCTTGTTCAATGGTGCTTGTATAAGAAGATATACAATGCCAGGTGTCAAGTTTGATATGTATGCATTAGTTTTTACATGTGCTTGATTTCTCTTATGCTTATAAACTAAGATGCATGGACACAGATACGAGACACGGACACGACACGGTATAGACACGCAGACACAACATTTTTAAAAAAAGTAGGACATGGACACGTTAGGGATACGCTACAAAAAATTATATTTTATATAACATTCTATAATTTATTACAAATATAGTGATATTGATATGCAATTCATAAAAGATTAAGTATTTTATAATAAGTAAATCTTATGCATTGTTATTTACGTAAAATTTTAGACTAAAANAGGATGGTTATTGGTAATCAGGTTCGGACTCTTCAGTTTGTCCTACTCATTTTTACAGTTTGCTAATATAGTGTACCGAACTGTACTTATTCTAACATTTTTTTATGTTGCAAAAAGCAAGTGAGAACTCAACAAATACATGAGATGAAGAAAAAGGAAAAAGAGTATATAAAATTGCAGGTAGGGGTCTTTTGGAAATGTGTTATTAGCCTCTGAAATGAATCTAGTATAATAAGCTGGTTAATATAGCATGAGTAAGTATTTGGAGTAGTTGGTACTTGATACACATGGAATGAGGGAGGGATCATGTTTTTATTGCAGGAGAGACTAAACCAGGTCTTGATGGAGAAAAAAAAGGAATCCCGATCGGGCATGGAGATAATGAATTTACTCCAGGTGAATAGAGATTTTCTAGGGTTTGTATAAATTTTTTAATTCCTTTACTTAATGATCTTTAGCTACATGTCAACAGAAAGAAGGGCGGCAACGCGGGACATGGAATGGAAAGAAGGCTGACAATGACTTTTATAAAAAGATTGTAAGAAACATGATTGACTTTAAGTTTCAGTCACCATTATTTGACTCATCTGTGATCATGTGCTATTGGTAGGTTGATGCTTATGAGGCAAAAAATCAAGAACTAGTAGCCGAGAATGCTGATTTGAGGGCTTTATTACGTTCAATGCAGGTAGTTCTAAATGCTAACCATATTTGTTTTTGCTAATAATGTTCCGTGGGTGCAATGCTATCTTAATTCTTGTGAGCTCAATCTTATGTTTTCTCCATTTCTAATTACCTTAATTATGTATATGAGTGTGCACATTTATGAATAGACACACACTATGTGCATATTCGGTGATTGGGATTTATAATCTTGTTCAATGGTGCTTGTATAAGAAGATATACAATGCCAGGTGTCAAGTTTGATATGTATGCATTAGTTTTTACATGTGCTTGATTTCTCTTATGCTTATAAACTAAGATGCATGGACACAGATACGAGACACGGACACGACACGGTATAGACACGCAGACACAACATTTTTAAAAAAAGTAGGACATGGACACGTTAGGGATACGCTACAAAAAATTATATTTTATATAACATTCTATAATTTATTACAAATATAGTGATATTGATATGCAATTCATAAAAGATTAAGTATTTTATAATAAGTAAATCTTATGCATTGTTATTTACGTAAAATTTTAGACTAAAACATCATCATAATAGTCAATAATCATCAATTTTTTTTGTAGACAATGTGTACCTAATATATAATTTAAATAATTGCTCTCATTTTCTTAATTCCTCTGTTTTTAAACTTTTATGCATATTTTATTTTTATTATTATAATTGGAGTACAATTTTAACATGTTTAGTATTATAGTAATTATATGTTTTTAAAAATTTAAAATTTGTTAATCACATTTCAACACATGTTTATTGTTTAGTAGACACGTTCTAAAAAACTGTCGGACACGTCACCCAAGAAGTGTCAGACACGTGGTCTGAAATTAAATTTTTTTCATTTAATTATGGACACGAATAAAAAAGTATTGGACACGGGTCAGAGAGTGTCCGAAGAGTGTCGGTGTCCGATATGGATACGTCACCATCTTGAGAGTGTCCGTGTTTCATAGTTTATAAGCACTGACATGTGAGTCTTGGGTGAAAGTATTTTTTCTTGTGTTGCTAAGTGTAGATATGCACAAATTGTTTGCATAAAATTAATAAGACGCCTTTTTTAAACTAACTATTTATGTTTTGAATGCCAACGTTTAAGATCTTCAATTGAATAATATCCTTTGTGCTGGCAAATGCGTAGCCATGCATAAGAAAGGGGGAGTGAATCCCGTAATGATAAAAAAAAAACAAATTGCATAAGAAAGGGGGGATTAAATTATTTAATATCATTTTAAAAGTAAATTTCATACACATATTTGATAATTTATTTAAATTTTGTTAACGATTAATGTGGTTTTTGAATCAGAACAATATTTTTGTTAAAAAAAAGGGGGGCAAACTTCACTTTGCCTCCTTGTGGTATACCCCAAATGTACATAACATCCCTCACTTTCAAAAATGTCCCAATAACCTGCATATGGTTGATGGACTAAAGTGAACCATCAAAGATTTCGTCCAACTTAATTGGAGGTGTGTACAACGTGCAATATTTGAGAGTTGATCTGTATCAAAAAAATTTCAAAGACAAAAATAACCTTTTAAAATTGTAAAAACACCATTATGGTCTTCTTTAAACCAATGATCAACACCACCTCAGACTTTGTATCACCATGAAAGGTTTGTTTTTTTCAAAGAGAAACACAAATTTTATTGATAACAAGAGACCATTACAAGAAAACCAATACAAATGTGGACAAGCAGTCTAACACACAAAAACAAAACCAGACTCTTGTAACCAAAACAACTGTAAACATTCTACTAAGCACATGATGTCGTCCACAACATAAGTTAATACAAAAGAGAGGAATATCTTTAAACTCTTTAAACATTGAAGTCCAAAAAGATGCAAAAAAATAAATTCTATTCCATAGACCCTCAAACTCTTCACTTTTATCCTTAAAAATTATCGCATTCTTTTCCTTCCAAATCACCTATAGTGTAGCAAAGAACGCACTATGCCAAATGATCTTCCATTTCTAAGTGCCTTCAAACCCTACATTGTCCATGCAAAACATCGAAACCATAGTCCTTGGAGCAACACAAGAGAAGCCCACAAAGTCAAAGCACTTGTTGTATAGTGCTCGTACCAAAGGGCAATGCAAAAAAAGGTGATCGACATTCTCATTATCACATCTACACATAACGCGCCATTGCGGTTGAAGACAATAGTTTGGTCTCCTCTTTTGAAGAATCTCATTAGTACCAATCTTCTCATGAGCACAAACCTGCACCTCTAAATGCATCTTTACCGTCCAAATCTTCAATGATGGATCAACCAAAGGAATCAGGGGATTATCAATTAAAGAATCAAAAAAAGGATTTGCAAGAAAAGGACTCTGTAGAGTTAATAATCAAATACCTCCTATCTTCAAAATTTTGAATCAAAGAAACATTATTAAGCAAAGAGAGGAAAGCTATCAACTCTAGATTTTTACAAAAACCAAAATCCCATGAAGTCATAGATTCTGATAACAAGAGACACAATACAATCGTGGAAAGAGAGTAGAAAAGCAAGACTCCACAATCCATACACCTTCTAAAAAATGCACTCTAGTACCATCACCCACAATGAATTTGACTCTTTGAGAAAAATAAGGGAAACTTAAGAAATGAACCTCTACGGATTCCGGAAAGTACCTTTTTCAACCCCATTAGCTTTCCACTTGTTAATATGTAACTTATACTTACTCCTAAAAACGGCACGCCACAATGAATCTTGCTCCAAAGGAAACTTTCACAATCATTTTCCAACTAAGGCTATATTCCTATTCACCAAGTTTCCAATTGAAAGTCCTCCCTTATTTTTTGATATAGTTATCACTTCCCAGCAAATTAGATGATCCTTCCCACAAAAAATCTGTTATTAAACCTTCAATTTTTTTAACCACCACTCCAGGCATTTTAAAAATAGACAAAATAAATACGAGTGCTAGACAAAATAGATTGAATTAATGTTAATTTAACCCCCCTCCAACCCCCCAAAACCCAATAAATAAAAACTTTCTTCCATTCATTTAATCTCTTTCCAATTTTCTGAATAACAAGATCCCACAAAGTTCTTGACAACAGTTTACTTCCTAGAGGGAGTCCTAAATATTTAAGTGGCCACTCACCCACCAGACCCCTGAAATAACACAAAACACATTAATAATTAACTTTAAATTATTCAATTTTTGCTCATCCCATGAAGAAAAACATATAGTGTTGTCTGCAAATTGCAAATGAGAAAATTTAATTTTTTCCCCTTATAACAAATCTGTGAACCAAATTATGTCTCTCTACCCTCTTGATCAGCCTACTCAATCCATCTACCACCAAAGTGAACAAAAAGGTGATAAATGATCATCCAGTCTAAGCCCCCTATATGCCTTAAATCTACCGCTTGTCATTCATTATGACCAAACAATTTGTCGACTCCAAACAATCCCTAATCCACTTCTTCCATCTCTCCAAATTTTTTTGTTTCCAACACAAAATCCAAAAAACTCCAATCCACATGATCATATGCTTTTTTAAAATCAATTTTAAAGACAAAACCTTCTTTCCCTTTATTCCTATACTCCTCAACAACCTCAGCGACAAGTACTACATCTATCATGTGTCTCTCCCTCACAAAAGCCTCTTGACAATTTGATATTGTATCACTTAGACACTCCCCAAGCCTCATAGAAAGTACTTTTGCAATAATCTTATACGAGTTCGTAACTAAACTAATTAGCCTAAAATCCTTAAATTTCAAAGAATGAGCTTTTTTCGGGATAAGACATATAAATGTAGCATTTGTAACACCATTGATGACACCTTTATTATAAAATTCCTCAAATACCCTCATTAAATCATCCTTCATACCATCCTAACATTCCTCACATATAGCCATAGTAAACCCATTTGGACCGGAAGCCTTTTCTCAACTACACTCAAAACACCATTGTCCTTACTTCCTCCATTTCAAAAGGTCTCTCCATCCATCCAGCAACCCACTCGCTCCGGACCCCTCACCATAGGTCTTGAACCTCCTAGCAAAAAAACTAGTAATCTCCCTCTTAATGACATTCTCATCCTCAATTATTGACCCATCATCAAGCTCTAGTTTGTTAATAAACTTGCTCACCCTATTTCCATTAGCCACTATATGGAAAAATTTTGTATTGTTATCTATTTCTTTCACCCATTTCAGTCTTGATTTCTATCTTAAACTAATCTCTTCTTTAAACTCTACCTCTTCAAATCCATTCCTAAGCTCTCTTCTTTCTCTCTTCAATCCTTCATCCATACCCCCTCCATCATCAATCTCGTCCACTTCTTCTATCCTTTCCAAAATGAGTTTTTTTGCTTCACGAAAATCCCCAAACACTTCTTTATTCCACATCTTTAATCTCTATTTTACAAACTGTAACTTCTTCATAAATCTAAACCCTTCCCACCTTTGAATCACTCCCAGTCTCTACCAATCTCTAATTTTTCCTCTAAAATCTCCGTGCTCAACCCACATTTTCAAATCAAAAAAGGCATGGTCCCCATCTTAAATTTAGCATCCCCAAGCACAATAGGACAATGATTTGAGACCACTCTAGATAAAACCACCTGTCTAACCCTTGGATAACAATCTTCCTATCCAATAAACAACAAAAATATATCTAATCTCTTCGTCTGCGTTTGATAACGTTTTTGTTTTTTTGTTTTAAAAAAAAAAGAAAACAAAATCAGTTTTTATTTTCTGTTGTAAAAATTTGAAACAAAAAATTTGTTTGGTTGTACTTTTTGTTGTAAGAAACTTTGAAAACAAAAAACATGTTTGGTAATCTCATTCAAGTTGTTTGATACACAATACAATCCCAATTCAACAAAATCCTAATTCAAAAAAGTACACAGATAATCAAACACACAACAACACAGAGAGAGAGACACACACACACATAGACATAGTTGCACACAAACAAAATACAAACAACACAAAACACACGCAGTTGCACATGCAGACATACAAACACAACACAGTT